TATTTATATACAGTGAGTAACATTGATATTCGTTTTTTTTTTATGTTTGAATAAATATAAAACATATAAAATTAATTAAAATTAAAAAAGTGTAAACTAGCGTTTTTTAGAAATAGCCTTTAAGATAAGGTAAATATCAATATATTTGATATAACTAACAAAGATTATACATAAACCGGAAACAAAGTTAAACAATTAAAAAACCGAATATCATTGCTAGTCACTGTATATATATACATATATATTACACGGCAAGGAATCCAATAGTTGATATATTCCTTGTTAGTTTGTATAGTAAATAAGAGTGGTTTAGCACGAAAAGGAGCAAGAGTATGCTGAACAACGTGCTGAGGAGCCACAATACTACTAAATTATACATTATTATATTAAAATTTTCTTTAGGGATGATGTAAAGTACTTTTACACTGACATATTTTAGTCAAGCTAATTAAACATACTACAACATTAAAAAACTAATCATTTTTATCACTAACGAAGATTTTTTTTTTTTTATATATTATTTAAACAGGTTTTTTACTACCTAATCGGCAGCTTAACAAGTTGAACATAAAAACACAATTATTTACAGTACACACTACAGAAATTTCATAACAATAACAATATAACAATTTACAAAAATATCAACAAACAAACAATAACAATTTTTACGTATATTACATTAAATTTGACTTGATATATTTTTATAGGAACCTCGTGGGGAAGTCCTGTGGATGAACGAAGATTTTGTATTACTTTTATTATAATTTTGTTAATGATAGAAGTATACAATGGAACTAGTACTTTCCAGGAAACGGAAATATTATTTATTATTATCGTATGTACTAAAAAGTATACACATATTCAATATGAATATAAAAACAAAAGTAAATATTATTTAAAGTTGATTAAGATCTTAAAGCATCTCTAAGTATTTACATTTTTTTATTTATTTTTTTTTTTTTATTTGGTTTATTAAGTATAGAAACGGTAAAATCAGATATAGTACTTTAACAACACATTTATGTACATAA